GATCTGATATTGTAGCCCTAGCCCAGGTTGACGTGAACTTGCTCTGTTGCACTTTTGGGTGGAGGTCACTGAGTCGGTTACTGGGAACTTATCTTCCAGGGACTGGAGTCAGAGACATGGCTGGTGGGTACCAAGATGGATGCCTAGCATAAAATGGAGTTTCTTTAGCCATCAAACTATCAGTGCCGCCTAGGTCTTTAATTCTCGTTCTGATTGAATTAATGGTGGGCTCCTGTACCTTAAACTGTTTGGCCAATTATGTACAATTTGGTAAAATTAATGGTCCTTAGGACCAACTATACTTCTTTAGAGTGGGATAAGTCTATGATTTGACTCATTCACTAAGACCAGTGGGGAATGTAACATGTCTCCAGACCTTAGTAGGCCCCCAAACCTTAGCACAACTGACTCCATGATGGAAGTACCATTCAGGCCACAAAACTCAGCATGTAGACAGCACCGGTTGACAAAAACAAAAACAAAGACATAATCCATCTAAGTCTATAGTTCTGGGAGTTTCTAAATGTTCAAACGGTGCTTTTTTACTTCTGTGCATCCACTTTTATATAACTGTTCTTGTTAACTGAAGCATGTCAACTCAGGACATGGTTTTTGTGCTGAAAAGCTCACCCTGAGAAATTCTTGGTGCTAAACCGGGATTCTGAACACACAATGTAGGTGCCGACCAGCTAATAAAGACTTTCTTTTGGCTTAAACCCATGTCCTAGTCTTCTCTGGTAGACACCCCACAAGTGGAGGCCTGATGTCCAATATAACCTAAGGAGGTGCTCTCAAAGGAGGGAGAGGTAATAGGGAGGAGACAGGTTCATAAGAAGTAGTGTGTGCTAAGATCTTGACATATGGGAAGAGTGTCACCAGTCACCTGGACCTGAGAGGGCAGGCAGGCTGGAGTGTGGTAAGCAGGGGTCAGACAAACAACAGTCATAAAGCCACTCCAGAACCCGGATTTCATTCTAACTGTACTGGGAGGCACTGAAACTCTTGACGGGGAGGGATATATTTTTTTACATTTTCACACACACACACACACACACACACACACAGTGTTTTGCCTGTTTGTATGTCTGTGTAGCACTTGCGTGCCTGGGCCTACAGAACGCAGGAAAGGGGGAGATCCTCTGGAACTGGAGTTACAGTTGTTTGCGAGTTGCCATGTGGGTGCTGAGAATCAAACATGGGTCCTTTTGAAGAGCAACTGGTACTCTTAAATCACTGAGCCTGCCTTCCTTTTTTTGAAAATTCTGGGGATGGGACCTGAAACCAGGGTCAAGTCTGCTGTGTGTGTTTCATTATTGGGCTAAACCTCCAGATCCATCCCCCACCCCCATCCCATTTTTGAGATGGGGGTCTCACTATTGTTAGCTATTCTAGATCTTGAAAGCTTAAACACCCTTTCCCCTTCATTTTAAGGTTAGTATTGGGGCTGCGGGAAAATGCATCAGAAAAGAGAAGGGTTCCTCCTGTGTTTCTGTTGACTGTGAGCCCAGCTCGGTCCCTAGCTTCTTGAGTGACAACATGGCACCGGTGCTGCCTGTTGCTGTGGTGGGGTTTGCCTGTGTACTGTGAGGTTTGGCCAAATTCTTGCCTCTACCCATTAGATCTCCACACAAAACTGTCCCCAGGCACTGTTAAGTGTCCCTTGTTGAGAACAACTGCTGTAAATGTAGAATGAATGGATGATACCCAGGGTCGCTACTACAGACAACAACTAACCAAACCCTAACCTGGCATCCTACTATCTGGGGTCAAAAAGGAAGGTGGATGTCTTGCTGCTGTAGAGCCTTCACCCTCACCCCACTGTACAGCAGGGACGACTTTTCTCAATTACACATTGTACTCTTGTGAGCTTGGTCACTGGGGCTTCCTAGGCACTCCCGAGAAACAGTTTCCAGCTAGAACCCTGGTCTCACAGCTCATTGTCCCCAGTGGAGGAAGATGGCGGCTTCTTGGAGGGCATCCCTCCACTGTGGGAACCTGATAGAGCACAGTAAGCAGGTTGGAAACACATTTACTTTTATGAGAAAATAGACATCCAGTAGCAGCAGCAACAGCATCTGCTCACAAAACCATGGCAGCTCCTGCAAGGCAATGTGGAGATCAGTGCAGGTGTCCATGGAGCAGAGGGGTCACGCACGAAGGAGGCCACCGAGTGCACAGCAAAACAAAACGTCTAGTCCAATGTGCACAACACTGACACAGCACCAAGGATGGTTTACATGAAAGGAAGAGTTAACAACTGCGACACAAACACCAGACTGGGAAGAGCATCTGCTACAACACAACGGGCTGCAGCTGCAGCCCTCAAAAAGGATTCACCACTCACTGCAGTTTAGCACAGCAGGGCGGGATATACCCTGCAAGGAGTGTATGGGGCATGAGGACACACAGGTGTCTCTGCACCAGCCAGATAGAAGATGAGGCTCCAGCATGTGGCCAAGGTGAGGTGTGGACAGGCCAGCTGGGTGCTAACAGTTCACGGGTGCCAAGAACCCTCAGAAGGTCCAGAGCCAAATGACTGCAGGCCCAGCTGCAGAGCAATGCCTCACCTAGGTGTTGGCTGGGAGCTGCCCCATGAAAGCATCAGTCCCAGGGGATTTGAGTCAGGAGAGGGCAATCTACTGTCTTCCTTGAGAAGGAACCAGGAAAAGGCAAACATTCAACTCCACAGGCACAATGTTCGGAAGGGTAGGCTGGCAGGAAGAGCCGTCTCGTGGCCTAAGGGGAAATATGGCACACAGGCTAGTCTCCTTGTCTGCACTGTGCCGGGGGTCCACACCAGAGGTGACCCTCGCCCCGCATCTTCCCTAGAAGCCACAGCGCATCTGTCCCTTGAGTCAGGGCACACAGTCTTTCTTCCTCCTCTTCAGGGCATCTTGGTGTCCTAACTCATTGGCACAGGAAATGCTTGTGTCTTGATGGCAAACTGGAATAGATCCAAAGATGAAGGAGTGGAGCCCAAGTGTGCCCTGGAACTACAGACTTCCAGGAGCTGAAGTTGCCAGCTAGAGTCAAGGCTGACCAATGGTCCTGGCCCAGTCCAGGGCTACTTCTGACTCTCCCTAGAGTGGCTCCTGATTTCTCACCTGGTTGGGAGGAGACTAAAGGAATGGATGCCAGTGGAGCTCAGAGCTCTTGGTTGCTTGTTGTCAGGCCCTGGCAGTGCTTCTGCTCCAAGTGAGGCTGAGCAGCAGCCGTGCTGTCAGAGCCTTCCTGCAGGACAAGGCCCATCGCGTGTGGCAGCCTTGCACGTCTCAGAAGTTTCTGGCTGCAGTTGAGTATGCTTCTGCAATTAGAATACCAATACATTGCTGGAGTGCTCGTCATTGCCCAGGACACAGCTCAGGACATCTAGAAGGTTCTGAACATTTAGTCTGACCCAGGTGGCTGTTCAGAGCATTTCACCGAAAGAAAGAGCTGGTGCCGGGGATTCTCCAGCCGGTTGACAGTGGGCCAGAGCTAATGGTCGCTCATGAATGATGTGATGTGGCCATCTTAACTTCAGGGTGGGAACAAGTCCAAATGTCCTGGAGTCACCCCATGGCATCCAAAAGGCCTCCCTGAGCTCATCTTTCTACAGATTTCCAGTTGCCAGTGGATTCTGTGATGACAGCCTCCCTGGTGCATGACCCCAGCGGGCATCTGCAGTGCCCTGTGGTGGAGGTAGACACTGACTCTCTTGACTTCTCTAAGTTCCTTGCCGGGGAGATCTGTACTAGCAGCCTGGGAAAAAACAAAGAACAGTTTGGGTAAATGAGAAGAGGGCAGTTCCAAATTCACTAGGAGATGGCTGACAGAAATGGGGGGGGGTGGTTAAGTGCAAGCTGGTCCTGCCAGCTACCCATAGAAAGCAAAGGGTGCTGAGGGGTGTGGGGCTCCAGCCATGGACCAATACCTAGTGGCACACGAGTGCACTCAGCACAAGCAGCGGGTCTGACACCCTCCTGCTTCTGCTGGGGCTGCACCCTGACCTTTTCCTGCTGGTTTGGTTGTGTGATTTTTCTCATAACTGCATCTGGGAAAAAAAGAAAAGAATGCCAACAAGGGCTGGAGAGATGGCTCAGCAGTTAAGTGGTGTGGGAGGTCCTTCTGTCTATGTGTTGATTTTATTGGTTAATGAATAAAGAAACTGCCCTGGCCTGTTGATAGGGTAGAACTTAGGTAGGTGGGGAAAACTGGACTGAATGCTGGGAGAAGGCAGGCAGCGGGAAAGAGAAATGCCATGGGTCCTACATCAGAGACAGATGTGCTGAAACCTGGTAGGTCACAACCTCACGGTGATGCATAGATTAATAGAGATGGTTTAAATTAAGATGTAAAAGTCAGCCAATAAGAAGTTAGAGCTAATAGGCCAAGCAGTGATTTAATTAATACAGTTTCTGTGTGCTTATTTCGGTTCTGGGTGGCCAGGACGAACAAGTGGCCTCCTCCTAAAGTTAAGAGCACTGGCTGCTCTTCCAGAGGTCCTGAGTTCAATTCCCAGCACCTACAAGGTGACTAACTATAACTCTAGTTCCAGAGGATCCAACGCCCTCTTCTGGCTTGAGAATACTGCATGCATGTGGTACACACATAAACATGCATGGAAACACCCAAACACAAAGATAAAGGAAATGACAAAACAATGTAAAAGTAGGCCAACACACAGGAAGGCTTGTGTGCAATAAAACCATAGGCACGAGCCAACGCCACACCTGAGATGTCTGCCTTTTTTCATTGAGACAGGGTCTAACTATGTAGCCCTGGCTATCCTGGAACTTGTTCTGTACACCAGGCTGGCCTTGAATTCAGAGATCTGCCTGCCTCTTCCTCCAGAGTGCTGAGATTAAAGGCATGTGTTAAAGGTGGGTTTCTCTGTGTAACAACCCTGGCTGTCCTGGAACTAGCTGTTGTAGACCAGGCTGGCCTCAAACTCAGGGATCCCCCTGCCTCTGCCTCCTGAGTGTTGGGATTAAAGTCATGTGCCACCACCACCACCCGCTTTAGCTGATTCTTTGGAGTTGAGCACTGTCACTCCCATTGCATGGAAGGAAACTGAGGCACAAGGTTCAGTAATATATCCAACATGGCAACATCCAGGCAAGGAGACCACCTGAAGGACTCCTGCTCTACCACCTGTTTCCCCTCGGAGACCAAGACACTGGCTTTTAACATGATTCTTTGGCTATGTTTGGACTAGGCAGCTGAGGCTGGCCTACTCTACTCAAAAACAAAATAAAACAAAAAGCATATATAAACAACTTGATTCTTCCCAAGAACTCTGGGTGAGGTATAGATAAGTGGCAGAGCATTGGCCTAGCACTCTGGACTCTGTGCTCCATCTCCAGGACCACAAAAGCAAAACAATGATGGTGAACCCACCTGTCTGCTGGAGGGATGACTGGACTCTGCCACCTAGACACTGCTGCAGGTGTCTTCCGGGGCCAACCTGAGGCGAATATGTGACTACATGGCATTCTGTGTCTGGGCCCTGTCCTATGCATCCTAAAATGGGGGAAAGACAGACATAAAAGAATTATTTGTAACCTGGTCCAGAAGCAGTCCATGTGGCCAGGTTAGGGAGCAGCTCGGTCAGAGTCAGCTCTGTTTCTCTAAGTCAATGGCTCCTTAAGCGTCCACTCAAAGCAACGCTTCACACTGCCAATGACAGGGTTATCAGAGTTCTGCACAATCAAACTGAATCGATTCAGACAAGTCAAGCACCCCTTGGGTTGTGCTGACTGATCTGGGCTATTGCAGATTCTGTGTCCACACTGTCACTCTCATGGAACATCAAACTCAGAAGGCACATTGAGCTCCCTGTCAATCATGGTTCCAGTCCAGTTCCTGCACCCAGGGATCCCAACATTCTTAGCTGGCTTTTCCTTACCTCTGAAGGACTAAGCCTATGTATGAAAAGCTCGAAGAAACCGCCTGCAAGCTCCCTGTGGCTCAAACTCTTCATTTTGCTCATTAAGAATATGGATCAGAAACCAGGTATGGAGTGCATGCCTACAAATCCCAGAATTCTGAAGGCTGAAGCAGGAGGTTCATGGTGAGTTCAAGACCAGCCTGAGCTATAGTTAGTTCTCAGCAGCCTGAGCGATACATCAAGACACTGTCACAAACAAACAAACAAAAAGGACAAACAAACCCCAAGAGAGCACTGTGCAATCTACCTTAACCAATGTTTGATGGCTTACGCCTGTCATTCCAGCATTCCAGAGGTGTATAGGCAGGGACACCAAGAGTTTGAGGTCAGTCTAGGCTACACAGTGAGAGCCAAGACAACCTGGGCTAGAGCGAGATCCTGTCTCAACAAAACAAAACAAAACAAATGGTTGGCAAACAAACCATGGCGGCACCTCACTCTGTCAAGTTTGGCTAGTACACGGCCACAACCTCATTCTGTGCCATCTATGTAAGGGCTGTGGCAACATGCGGCATAAGAGAGTTACTATGTGGCTGCACAGACAAGAACAAGCTGGGTGGTGGTGGTGGCGCATGCCTTTAAATCCCAGCACTCAGGAGGCAGAGGCAGGCGGATCTCTGTGAGTTCAAGGCCAGCCTGGTCTACAGAGGGAGTTCCAGGATAAGAACAAAATTTGGCCCTTTACATAAACTATTACCAATCCCCGACCTGGACTCATGAGGAACAACACTGTGTCCCCTGCCCAGTGGCCCTCTCGGTGAGGATGAACACACACTATTTTTGGTTTCCTGTCAATATTGAGGAAATTGTGACTCTGTACCCTCAAACCTTCACACACATCCTTAAGGACAGGGTTAGAGGTTGTGCCCAGGAAGCTGCCTTACCACCTGCTAACACCCCAGGTTTCCAATGTCCCAGAGGCATGCGGGCATCTCCTCTAAACCAGAATGTGCTTCCTGGGTGTGCTATGTATATATCTATATCTGATACCCATTTTCTCACAATTTTGCCGTACTGGATTTCCATATTAGATTAAGGCATCCTCTCCCATGGGGATCAAGTCTGGTACAATACTCCTGGGGTTGCCTGCTTGAGGAGAGTGCAGTGTGGGAAGACTCTGTCTCAGCTTGCACTTTCTGACAGTGCGCACATCATCAGCAAACCCGGCTAGGCCAGGACAGGAGGCACCAGAGACGCTAGCTTCAGCTTTCAGGAGGACAGTTAACCTGGTATAGTTGTTATTTTTCTCACTGTTGTGGTAACTTTCTGAAAAAAGCAACCTGAGGGTTTCCTTGGCTCCTGGTGTGAAGGGACACAGGCCACGATGGTACGAAGTATGACGTGGCTGGACACGGCCTGTAATTGGGAAGCACACAGATGAACCCTCAAGTTTTTAAGTCTCTTAAAGTTGGTTTCTTAAGACTTTGTGTGTGTCTCTACTGCTGTGTGCATGCGGGGTCAGAGGACAACACTGAGGAGTTGGCCCTCTGCTGCCACTTCTACATGGGTTCCAGGATTGAACTCAAACCGTCAGGCTTCTGAAGCAAGTGCCTTTACCTGCTGAGCCGTCTCTCTTCAGTTAACTCTCATGGTAACACCCTCATAGACACACGTCCCGAGTGATTCTCTATCCAGTCAGGCTAGAGTCAGATTAACTACAGCACCTGGGAAAATATTCCTGCCAGGGAACACAACTACCCTGCACTGTTTATTTTTCATGGTTTCTTTATCTGTTGACAAACCTATCTCTAGTTTTTGGCTGGGGACCCTTCTTTCAGGGCAGGGTCCTCAAAGACTACAGTTATTATTTTTTAAATGTCTGAATTTCTGCTAACTTTCCCCCAACTTACCTTCTGGTCAGCAGTCACTTTGCTGTCCTCAGAACACAGACCTCATAAAGCACCTGGGACAGAGGGCAGGCACAACCATATCACCTTGTCCTGGTGACAGGCAGGACGTGGAACTGATCTAAATGGCAGGCTGCCATGGGGCCGGGTCACTTGTTTCAGAGGGTACAGTGGTGAGAAGCCACAAGACCTAATCTACACACTCTGCCACCATGGTAGGGTGCAGGGGTCCACTGCAGCCACTCTGGGTGGATCCAGGCTCCTTGTCTATGACAGTGGCTGGGACAAGGGTACACAGTGCAGTACAGGTTCAGGCACTGGGGCTGAGCTCAGAGACTATTGGCTCAGCCAGAAGAGAGCAATTTCAGGACCACTTCAGTCAGCTGCCCAGAGATGAGCAAACTCTAGTATAGTCCAAGGGGACCTGGGTCCTCAGAGCTTGTCAGAGTGCTGCCTGCCATCCATCCACCTTAGAGTCCCTTGCCCCCAGCAGACTGCATGGGCCGGGCATCCAGAGCCAGGCGCCTTCAAGTGAACTGACAGATGTGTAGTGGATGGAGCCAGCAGAGGCCAGAGGGAGGCAGTGGCCCTAGCCTAGCAGGGTGTCACTTTAGCTATAAGTTCTTGGTGACCCAACGCTGTCCCAAAGATGCCCCTGAGTAGGATGAAGTAGTCTGGAAAATGGCTGGAGCTGCAGTAAGCCCCCAGGGAGCACCGTGTTACCACCAAGTGTAGACTCACAGGGCAGAAAGCCTCTGTGGGTTCTCACGTCTGATAGGTGAAATTTCCTTCTGATGTCAGAGACACGGCAGCCAAACAAGCCATCAGTAGCATACTGCATGAGAAACCTAGACCAACATCTGACGTTTGACAAAGATCCATAGTTGCAGGCTGCCCCTCTCAGTGCTTCTTCCTCAGATGACGTTTCCGATGCCGGATGAGGCAGGAGCTGTAGGCGAAGGTTTTTCCACATTCCTCGCAGCCGTAAGGCTTCTCTCCAGTGTGCGTTTTCTGGTGCTTCAGAAGATTGGAGCCACAGTTGAAGGCCTTCCCACACTCCCCACATTTAAAGGGCTTCTCACCAGTATGGATTCTCAGATGTTTGGTGACGTCTGAGCTGTGCCTGAAGGTCTTCCCACACTGATCACACTTAAAGGGCTTCTCTCCAGTGTGAACTCTCTGGTGGCGGATGTGGTCTGTCTTGTGTTTGAAGATTCGTCCGCATTCACCACACTCGTAGGGTTTCTTCCTCTGAAAAGGAATAAACACGGGGACGCCCTCAAAGTCATCTTTAAATGAGGCATCAAAGGCATCAAAGATATGCGCCTCATCTTCGGGACTCAGGACAGGCTGTTTGCGGGGCTTCCGGGGCCTCGCTGACCTCTTGGTTGGCTTTTTTGCCTTGGATGCTTTCTCTCCTTTGACAGTGGCCTTTGGCACCCCTGCTTCCTCCTTTGGGGCCTGGGTCTTCTTTTTCCTGCCTGCAGGCTTTTCCATTGCTGCTCCTAGGAAGTGGAAAACACCCTGGAAGCCAGGGAAGGCTGAGGGCTCCCAGACAGCTGCTGCTAGCTCTTTCTTTGTGACTTCACTCTGTCAGAAACAGCTCACCACATCTTGCTTATGCAGCTGCATTTTGGCATCCACCAGACGGAACCGATGTCCTTTTGCTTCTGGGGACAAAAGCATTGACAACAGGTCAAAGGCAGCTCTCAGGGCTGCAGTCCCTCCACTGGCCTTTCAAATGCTCATTTGATGAGCTCCTCAGACTAACGCGGACTCCCCAGGACTCCGGTCCACTTCACGGGTCCATTGTACGCTCATCTCTTTGAGTGGTGTTCTCACTGACTCAGCCACTGACCAGGAGACACTCCCTGGCCTGAGGACAAGGCTTTCACTTATCCCACAGAACTCCATATCCACCATGGACCAATGACAACTTCCCACCTCCAAAATTGAACCTTCCCCTTCCCTTCCTCACCCTCTCCACCTGCCCGCTTTGGGACTGTGCATATACCCTGCAACAGGAGGTAACTCCACTGCACACAGCCTGGTTCTGTGCCTGCAAAACTCCGGGCTGTTTTCATAAACCTCAGCAGCCAGCAAACCCCATCAACACCCCCAAAGGCTGCCCCTTGTGCTGCAGAGCCTTTCTTTATGTGAGAAAGGCTTTTCTTTAGCTCTAAACCTGCACCATCCCTTTTACCCCTGGAGGCCGGAAGGGAGTGGGCTATGCTGGAGTCCCAGCGAGCCCCTAGTCTGCCCCAAAACACAGCTGCCACTTTGGGAGCACACTGTGTTTTGTTCCAAGTATTCGACTTATGCCTGCATATCTAACCCAGCATATAAAGATCTTATCTGGATTCGGAGTTCAAGTTCAGCTAGGCATTTGCCTGCACTATCTGAACGTCAGCGTCTGAAAGTGTTTTGTGGGACAGCTCAGGAGGAGACATCTGAGAGTCCCTGTCTGACAGCCCCCAAACTCAGTACCAATTCAAACACCATCACTCCGGTGAGAGGAATCACGAGCGGGGCCCAGGTGTCTTGTGTTTGCTCACCAAGGCGCATTCTCAATGAAAACTGAAAACAGACATTAAAACCAACTGCCCCCTCCCCTCACAGGCCCGTGCACAGGGGTGGGTGCGAGTGATTCGGGCAACTTAGTTCAATGCAGCGGGTCTAACGGCTCAGGTCCATCACAGTGCTGCAGGACCTGGCGGAACTCGGAGCTCAAGTCACCCAGCAGCAAGGGGCTTCGCTAGGAAACCCGCCCCATCTTCCCCGCCTCCAGGACCTCCGCAACAACACCGAGTGGCTAGCGGCCCACGGAGAAACGACCCAGAAGCCAATCTTCGCCGGGCCGGGGACACCGAGCGCGCATGCAAAAGGTACCTTGGTGGGTGTCGAGCGAAGACGCCGTGGGCAAACAGGCGGGTGGGTGAGTAGGCGGGCGGGCGACGGTTACAATCCCCACTTGAGCCCGCCACTCCCGCCTCTCCCGCGCCTGAAGGCGCCCGCCCCTCTGGTGCCGCTCTACCTTCCCCGGCCTCTCGGTGGTGCTGCGGCGCGCTCCACAGCCCCGCCCACCGTTCTCAGCGGTCTCCGGTGCCTCTCTAGGAGTCCTTGCCGTGCTCTCAGTGGTACCGCTGCATGCCCCGTAGCCCCGCCCTCTCAATCATGTCCTCCTGGCGTCGCTCTAGGAGCCGTCGCCCGGCCTCTCTGTGGTGCTGCGCTCGGCTTCGTAGACCCGCCCACCTTCCCCAGCCCCTTCGGGACCGCTCTAGGAAACAGGGCCGCACCTCTCCGTGGTGCTGCGGCTGCGGCCTTGCGCAGAGCTTGAGGGGCTGCCAAGGAGGTGTCTACGTCTATGCAGGCTTCTGGACAGCGGGCGGCGCTTTTCTCCCGGCGTTCACCCGCGCAGAACCGTCTCCTCATATCAGGGCTCCAAGCCGTCCACGTCTTCGGGTTGTTTCTTAGTCTTCGGGCTTGTCACTTGTTCGGCTCACTGTCCATCCGCTCCAGGACGGCGGATCCCCCGTGTGCACGGCATGTGGCCGCCCTGGACCCGATTAACTCCAGTCAAAGCCTGGTTCAGGCCTCCTCCGCTCTGTCCCTGATCCCTGGCTCCTGGCCTTTATCGCCAGATACTACAATCTAGTCCCTTCCTGCGTTGTTCCCACTTTCTGGATACATTCCCCCTCACTATATTTTATCAGGTTGGCTTAGAGCTAGCAATCTGCCCCGGCCTTTCTCGAGCCCCAGGATTATAGGTGTGCCCCACAGCGCTTGGAGATGGTTGCAATTCATATCAGATACGAGAACCGATTGAGAGCTGCTGTGTGCTTGGCTGAGTCTCCCTGGGGACGCCATTTTGCATGACTGCTAAACCATATTAGGGCCTTCTATCCTGGAGAAGCCGGCATCTCAGACCTCAAGCAAACCACAGATCTATCGTCTCCCCCTCCCCCTTTCAGACTCAATTGTCAGCATGCTAGACAAATGTGATTGTCCAGTGTGCAGCTTGGGAGCTTGCCTATTATCGCCCTGAGGTCGCTGTTTAGATTCACAGGGGTGGCTGTTTATCGAAAGGTGCTTCATTCAGCCTCCTGATGGAGCTGCCTCCGCGGTTTGTGCGCCACAGCTGATTGGATCCTTTGCCCCATGAAGGCTGTGTCACAAAGTTGCTGTGAAGACCCCCGTTCTGCCCCCACTCCCGACCATGCTTAGGAATGCAGTTGCTAGGTCCTAAACTGCATACTTCCTTTAGTGAGGATCAGCCAGACTGCTTTCCAGAGAGCCTGTGTCATTTCTCATTCATTCCTACCAGCAGCACAGGGTTTCCTGCCTCATCAGCATTTGGTGAGGGGGGGTAGTAGGCATCTCCTTGTTTGCATTTCCCAGAGGGCTAGTGGTCCGTATGCCTCCTGCCACCTGCATATAGCCCCCAGTGACAAGTCTCTTAGCTATCTTCTAATGAGGTGGGTTGAGCTGGTTGTGGGTGGACTATAGATACTGTCCTTTGGTCCTGGTTTATCTGGTTCTCAGACAGGTTCCCCCACTGTGTTCTAAGTTCATTTGTGGACCAGTTTTGTTGTGGAGTGGCTACCCTCTGGAGAATTATCCTCTTCTCTTGTTGGAGGGACTCAATTGCTAGGGCCTTGGCCTGGGCTGCTCACATGGTCCAAGCTTTCCTCTAAGCCTGTGGTGTCTGCTGCTGTGAAGTCCTGGTGTCTGGCCACTGTCTTTGAGTCATCTGCACACATGTCCCCTTTGTTTAGTGACCTGAGGAGGTGCCATCTTCAGTGACATAGGGCTGGAATGTGTCTGTGTTCTGGAGAAGTCCTGATAGTGGCCATTCTCATGGGAACTTGGATACAGAGGATGTGGGTCGCTTTGGCCCTCCCCACAGCATCTGCCTACCCCCTCCCATGGGTTTTCCAGCCCCGTAAGGAGCAATAAGGCCACCTTAAATGACCACCTTCCATCCTGAGAGGCAAGGAGGCTCCAGGGAACTCAGAGTAATCAAATCTTCTGTCCCTGTCCGTGGAGCTTAACTCTTGCCTAGCACCAGGCAAAGGCAGGAGCAAGTGACCCCAAAGTGGGTATTTGTCACGAGTACACAATGTCAGAAACATAGGTGAACACATTTGTGTCTTTTCACAATGTCAGAATTTTTCTGAATAGCAAATTTACAAGCTACATTGGTCTCTTTGTTATTTGTCAAGGGGTCCTGATTTGCCTTGATAGCAACTGCGCCAAGCGCAGCTTCTTTTATTCCCATTGTAACTACTGACGTCCATTCTCTGTGAGCATACCTTAAACGGCACACAGTAGTTCTGTCTGAAACTGCAGCTGTCGTCCCTATCAACTCTTCGTCTGTCTAAAGGGTAGATTTCAAAAAGGCTGTAACAGGGTTACAGAGGCTGCTGCAGACTCCAGTGGGGCCTTAGTGGAGGAGGAGGCAGGAAGCTGCCAGAGATGCAGCATCCCTGATGTGTGAGATAACAAGCCATGTTGGCGAGCTGCTGCTAGGGACCCCGGCAGAGCCAGGTCCCAGAGTTAGAATTCAGCTGAGCTGCAGGCTGGAATGGAGCTGAGGAAGTGAGATGAGAGACCAAGACGGTGGAGGCAGTAGAGGCAAAGGGCAGAAGTGTGTCCAGATGGGCAAATGGGTGGACAGATGGAATCGACAGTCTCAGCAGTGAGGACCAACTGGGGCAGTTGGGTGTTCTTTGCTTGTTGGTTTCTCAACTCAAGTCTATATACAGGGTGGTCAAGTGACAGGTTTATGGGGGCTGTCCCCATCACACTATTGGATATCCTATCTTTCCTTTCTTTGTGTTTGTGTGAGTATGGCACATGTGTACCTTGGCGTACATATGAAGGTCAAAGGATCACTTTGAGTTGGTCTCCCTTTCTATCTTGTTGGAGACAGGCTTTCTTTGTCGTTTGTTGCTACAGATGTGAGGCTAGCTGGCCCATAAGCCTTCGGGGGTTCTCCTGTTGTCTCTCCCAACTTGCCATAGGAACACTGGGGTTATAGACATGAGCTACCACATCTGGCTGGCCACAGCTCCGGCCCTCATGTGTGTGCCACAAAAGCTATACCCACTAAACCATCTCCCTGGCCCTAGTTTTGCTTTCTATTTTATTTTCTTTCATTTTCTGGGATAGTTTCTCTGTGTAGTCCTGGCTGTCCTGGAACTCACTCCATAGACCAGGCTGGCCTTGAACTCAGAGATCCACCTGCCTCTGCCTCCTGAGTGCTGGATTAAAGGTGTGCACCACCAAGCCCAACTTTGTTTCTTAACTTAAAAAAAAAAGGTGTGTGTGTGTGTGTGCATGTGTGTGCGTTATATGAGCACATGTGTATACCCTGTGCACATGTGCAGGTCAGAGGAAGACGATATCCTAGCCTGCCATGCTCTATCTATGCCCTCGAGACAGGGTTTCTCACTGAACCTGGAGCTAGGCTGGCAGGAAGCCCTAGTGATCCTCTTGTCCTCCTCCTCCCACAGTTCTGGGGTTATGTGCAGCCTTGCTCGGCTTTTTGCTTGTGTCCTGTGGGCTTGGGCTCAGATCCTTATGTTTGCATAACAAGCAAGCACTTTAACCCTGGTCTGTCTCCTCAGTCCCAAGAGGGGCTATTTTTATAAAATTATTTACATATTTTTAATTAATTCTTTTACACCTGGGTTATTAATAAGAATTTTGGTCAAAAGAATAAGAGGATCTGAATCATTTATTCTGTCCCGGGTGGAGATGTGACATTCTATACGGCTCCAAAGAGCACAACATTGCTATCTAGCAGGGGCTTTGTGGTAAAAGCTATTGTCCTTTCCCTTCAGAGTTAATCCAAATGGCTCTGCCACTCACCTGGGCAGAAAAATGCTCTCAAGAAAGCAAATTGTTTCAGAAATGTTAAGAAAGTCGTCTAGACCCAGCAAGAGGGCTCAGCAAGTGAAGGTGCTTGCCACGGAGCCTGGTGGTCTGAGTCCAGCCATAGGATCCACACAGCAATGGGTCACGCTGCAGCAACACAGGTTTTATTGGAAAGAACCCTGTGGAGGGCAGAGCTGCAGTGCAGGAAAGCAGAGGGCCCAGCTTCTGCTTCCAAGCTGAGGTAACTACTGGGTAGGAAAAGGGAAGGAGGAAAAAGAATAAAATGTCCCCTTTTAAGCCCGCGGTGGGCTGTTGCTAGGGGTTGCTAAGGAAATAAGGCACGTGGTGAGTAAAAGAAGAGCAGGTGATTAATAAACATCCCTCATGCCCACCACCACCCACGCTGATAGGCTGGGGGCACCAAGAATCAAGAGAAACAAGTCCGTGGGAAGAAAATCACTTTAATTTCAGGAGTTGCTGCTGTTTAACAAAAATGGAGGAGCTTTCCAAAATGACATGGCTGGCAGGTCCCACTATCATATTCTCTGCTGTGGAAGAAATCTCTGGGGTGGGAGCCACCGAGGGCTCTGAGGGGCGACTAAGAGTTTCTACAAGTGAGGCGCTCAGGGTGACTGGAGGCTCCATGCTGAATCCTAACAGCAAACATTTGAGCTTTGATGGGTGCTGGGTCTGAATGTGCTTTGATTTGTGGGGACCTCCCCGAACACTGAGAGGCAATGGCGGTGGTGGTTAGATAAGGAGGTAGGACAGCACCTGTGAAAGACATCCAGCTTGTCCTAGGGTTAGGCAGCCAACCCCTCCAGAGTATATTTTCATATTTCTCCTTAACAAGAAAATATACTAGGATCAGACATGTTGCTGGGGTACACTTGCTAAGTAGCTATTTGCTGTGGATAGCTATTCCCTCTGAATTGGAACTTCCCTTCCCCAAAAGGGGAGGAAGACTTTTAAGACTCAGGCAGGAAATAAAATACTTAAGATTTACAAGGTCCTGCTCAAGGTTACAAAAGCAGTAAATAATTGTCCATGAGAGGAGACTTTTCACTAGGCCAAGCTACCTGCCAGTTGAGCGGAGAGCTCTAGAGACGCAGTGTTCGTGAGCCATCTCTATGCTGTGTTTGTGAGCCGTCTCTAT